AAGAGGGGTGGGGAGAGACTTGGGGGTCTCCGTTTCCAGGTTCATTGACTCTCAGCAATGCTGCTCCCTTGTTAGTCTGGTTTCTCAGGCCTGGTCTTTACTGTGGGGACTGAGGGAGGCCTGGGTCTGTCCCAGTGACCTCAACCTCCTGAGGCTTCCTGTCCCAGTTTCCTAGGTGGCCAGTAGGAACAGCCTCTTTTCCAGAGGACTGGGTTGGTTTTTTGAGGTGAAGCTATAGTAAATAATGTTATTTTCTGAGGCAGGAGGCAATAGTCATAATCCAAACTTATGACAGTATATCAAGAACATAGCTAACAAGGCAAATAACTGCCATATGTCCAGCTAGAAACTTTAGCAATGTTCTAGACCTTTCTGTTCATATTTTCCATCAAGTATGCACGGAGCTTTACTTGGTCTTGGGTCTTAACTGAATCAAACTTTCACATCCTCCTAACACCTTACGGGACAGAATTAACACGCTGACCCTGCAGACAGGGAACTAAGCTGAGAGAGAGGTCAAGCTCTTGGACCAACTCAGGGACCACCCTTGACCACCCCTTCCACTGGCTTCACATCTATTTAGCCTCTAGCTAAATAGCAGCCCTACCCTGGCCCCGTAGGCAGCCTACAAGATCTGCTTCTCAGTGTAAGCAAGCTTTACCTTTTCCTGAGGGAATTCAGAGCCGTCTGTTCTCCACAGCCAAGAGAGGAATTGCTTCTCCCTCATCTGAGACTTAGCCACTATGCAGGCTGGGTTCCTGTTTACTTGATGTTCCTCATGTGCCGCTTAGAACCTTTGGTACTGGTGGAATCCGTCCTAAGTGCGACATACCTAGGGCCTCAGCTTCCAGAAAGATGGGAACTCTCTTGTGATGAGACGTAAGGCATGAGAGACCACTGGCATGAGAGACCACTGGCTCAGAAGAGCCTTCTTATGGTGTGACCACGGACAAATCATTTTGTCTCTCCACACCTCAGAGTAGTGACTCGGATCTTGACTGTCTCTGAAAAGCCACGTGTTGAAGGTTTGGTCACCAGCCTCTTGTGTTTGGGGAGGTAGTGGAGGCTTCTGGAGGTAGAGCCAAGTGGAAAGAAGGCACTGATGGAAAAGAAGGCGCCATAGAAAAGCTATTCTGCCATGTGCTCTGCCCATCATGTGCTGAGCCACCGTAGACCCAAAAAAGCAGGGCCAAGAGACCACCATGCACTGGAGCCTTGGACGTGGTGAGCCAAGACAAACCTTCTCGCTTCCGCAGCTGACTGCCTTGGGTGTTTCGTTATAGTAACGGAAAGCACACAGGCCACCCTGTGCAGTTAAGATCAAATGAAGAAGCAAAAGGCTCCCAGCATCCGTGGCATCTCCCAAGCTTGGGCAATTCTTCTCATTTGGCATCTGTGCGCAAATCAGACTTCTCGGGGGTCCTCCAGTGAGCCTGGCACTGTGCATGTTCCCAGTTACCAAGACAAAGGGGAGAGGCCCCAGCTGGGAGCTCTGGTGTCACCTCCAGCACCCCGTCTCTTATCCACCATCACTGCGTGTGGCAGACACAGAACAAAGGCCACTAGATTGAACACTTTAAATCTGTTTTTTTCAAATTGTGTTATTTTAAATGTTCTGGGCAGATGCCCACGTGTGCAGGGGGCACTTAGCCAGACCAGAGGCGTTTTGTCTCTTTGAAAGGCCTCCATTGTGACCCTATAGTGGCCCCAATTGATTCTGGGAACAAAAGGCCCTTGTGCAGCCCTAAAAGCATGATTGCTCCAGCCCACGGCTGGCAGTGCAAACCCTTTGCTGTCTCTTTAAGGCCCGTGCAGGGAAAACTTCAATCCTCTATTGGGGCTGCTGTACAAAGACAGGCTGATTCCTGAGTGTGCCCACACAGATGCCTTTACAGGGCTATGAAGTGGTCTTTGACAGGCTGGTCTGATTGGACCTACTGTGTGCAGAATATGATGTCAGAGATTGGCCTCCAGGGGAAAGGGCTGTATGTGATGAAATCCCTCCCATACACCCTGCCCTTCATGGGGGAAGATCACCAGAAAGAGAAACAAAGGCAGAGACATCTCAGGAGAGAGCCCCAGTGTTCTGGGTAGAATCGGTACGTGCTGCCTTTTGCTGAGGGCTGGCCCCAGTGCCCACCCTCTCCCATATCGGTCACTCCTAGTCACTGGCCCATGGAGTTGTCTCTGGGGCTGCAGAAGGCAAGAAAGGAGGGATCACATTAACTCAAAACCTCACTGTCAGGCCCCAGTCATGCCCGAGGATTCCACAAATGCCCAGCCGTGTATCCCAGAAGTCCCCTGCCAGTTTGCATGTGGCCACCACAGAGACTACTCTCTGTCACTTCCTGTGATGCAGGCTGGGGCTGCCCAGAGCCGGACCCTGCTCACTCATGCAGTCATATTTATGGGTCCTTTTGGCATTTGCCCAACACTTAATGTTCCTGTGAGCTCATAGGAGCCCAGGGGAGCAGGGGGCCTGATCAGTGAGTGAGCCCTCAGTCCAGCTGTTCCATGGCCGCTCACATGAGGTGGAGAGGAGTGGCAATTCTTTCAACTGGGCCCACACTTGGTGGAGATCCCAGTGGGGACTCCGGCTTGGTTTGTTCTGTCAGCTGACTGCCTCTTAAGCTTTCCTTGGGGCCGCAGAGGAGATTTTGTTTGTTCTTTGTGACGATGAAATGTTTTTAAATTTTACGTGTGTGCGTGTGTGTGTGTGTGTGTGTGTGTGTGTGTGTGTGTGTGTGTGTGTAGGCACATACATTGGGAGATGCTTCTTGCCTTTTACCTTGCTGAGGCAGAGTTTCTTGCAGTTTCTGCTGCTGCACTGTGAACTCCAGCCTTGCTGATCCTCTGCTCCTGTCTCCCCCACCTCCTCTACCTCCCATCTTTCCAGTGGGTGCTGAGATTCCAGATGTGAGCCACTGCTTCTGCCTTTTTACATGTGCATCAGGAAAGGAACTCACATTATCAGGCTGTTTTAGCAAGAGCTTTTACCCATGAACCTATCTCCCCCACCTTATTATTTTTTTCCTTTTGAGATAGGGCTTCAAGTATCCCAGACTGGCCTTAACCTTGCTATACAGCCAAGGATGACGATGAACTTCTGATGTTCCTGCCTCTGTCTCTGAGTGCTAGGTTTACAGGAGTGCACCACCACACAGTTATGTGGTGCTGATGACGGGGGAGAACTCAGAGCTTCAGGCATGCTAGGCAAGCACTCTACTGACTGAGTTACACCCACACTCCTGTGGTTTCAGCCTTTGTGATTTAGAATACCCAGTTCTTCACTTCCTTTGCACAGTGTCCACTGGACGGGGCCAGCTTTGGGATCCAAGGGCTGCAAAGTGGACCTAGGAAACACCCAAGCTGTCACTGGGACAGTGTTGCAGCTCAGAGTACCCATCTTTTCTTCACATAGTTGAGTCCATGACCTGTGTCCTTCCATGTCCCTTGCTTCAGGCCCTTCTGCTAGTGGTCTGGCATTGTCCCCAATGCCCAGCTTTATCCCCTACTCCAGGCCTCTGCTCACAGTCACCATGTCCATGATAAGGTCCCTCTGTCACTTCCCTGCATGAGGACAGGTCTTTGTGACCCAGTAGAGGAGTCAATCTCAGGATCTAAGGCCAGAGGGACTGTTACAGATCCTTGTGCCACACTGAGTCAGTCTTGGGGTCCTCACCTAATGGGATAATATAGAGGCCATCACCTGTGGCTGAGGGTTGCAGGAGTCCATATTTACACATGGAAGGTATTTTCAGGGGTGCCTGGCCTCAGGCAAGAGTTCCAAAGATGGCCAGGAAGATGGCTATACAGATGAGGACTGGGGTGTCAGAAGTACCTCACCTAAGAACAGCCAAGAATGCTCTCTTGCCCTTGGTTAAGATAACACCAAGGTATTGTCCCAGAAGAGGTTTCCTCTTATCCAAGACTCCAATACAAATGTGCTGTGTGCCATGTAACAGAGAATCTTTGTGGGACAAACAGCTTCCATCGTGAGAAGAGAATGGAGTCACACACAGGTGCTTGGCTGCTGCCTATTTGGTGCAGCTAACTTCTGTTTGGCTCTTCCCAGTAGTTTCTTCATGCTGTTCCTCTTAGGTATGGGGATTACCAGAAGGGAAGACCCCAGTAGGTATGGTTTGCTATCAGCAGACCCTTGTACCTGCAAACCCTGGGCCCTAGAAGGAGAGAGGAATAGGCAGAGAGTAGGTTAGAGCAAGTGTTGGGGGAGTGGATCTGGGGGAGGTGAAAACTTGATCACCCCATTACTTCCAGTTCCAACATGGAGTTATTATGATTCAAGTGGGAAACGAAAGTGTAAGCTTCAGAAGGAGGCATCATGTTAACACAGGAGCTCTCAACTGGTCAAAGTGACGAGAATAAGTGACTGATGAGTGCTTAGCCCTAAATGGGACATCTCTGTCAACAGCCCCCCCCCAAGGCTCAGGGAATAGAAGAGGTGGCAAAAAAAGCTCTAAGAGGCAGAGGATGTGGAGGAGTGCTGTGGCATTCTGTTTTCTGAATGTGACATGACTTTTGCACTCATGAACTCACTGCTCTGTGGTTAGGACCTAAACAAGAGCCAGCCTACAAGATGGGTCAGCATGAACTGGACTCTTTGCCTACGGGGCAGGCATATGAAGGTGGGTGGGGCATGTGCTGGGAGTGGAAGGTGGGTGGGGCATGTGTTGGGAGTGGAAGGTGGGTGGGGCATGTGTTGGGAGTGGAAGGTGGGTGGGGCATGTGTTGGGAGTGGAAGGTGGGTGGGGCATGTGTTGGGAGTGGAAGGGAGGAGTTGGGAATGGATATGATCAAGATACATTGTATACATGTGTGAAATTGTCGAAGAATAAAGAAAAGATTAAAAAAAGAAACCACAAAATTTCCATATAGACCCAGGAGAGAAAGCTTGAAAGTTTTGCCAGGACGATCCTCATGGTCTTTAATCCAGGTTTCTATGGTCACAACAATTTGCCACAAAAAGAGAGAGATAGAGATTGTATGAAAGTTTCTTTTAATGATTAAAAATCTGAAACATTGAGAAATCCTAGGGAAATTTCATTTTAGTTACCCTTCCTTCCTTCCTTCCTTCTTCCTTTCTTATCCCATCCCTTTCTCCTTCCCCACCTCCTGTCAAAATGCGATCCTCATTCTTGTTGAGCTGTTGGTTAATATAATGTTATGGTGCAGGTTTGTTGAAAACAAGACTTCCCCAGTCAACATTATTTCAGATTTTGTTAAACATTATAATGAACTTCATATTATCTCTTAGTTTATATTTTATATTTTAAAAATAAATGCCCAACTTAATCTTTTACTTGTGTTTTACTATGAAATTTTGGTTGTACTAAGTGGACAAATGACAGACTTGGGTCCCAGTGATGCTAGGATAACAAAAGTCCTCCTGGATGTGCCATTAAGACCCAATCTGGGGTGGGGGTGGGATTCAGCAGTAGAGTATTACATGCACAGGCCCTGGTTTCCATCCTCAGAAGCAAGGTAGAAAAGTTCCCAAATCCAATTTAATTGTAGCACACATCTCCTACTTTGTTGGAGAACAAAACATCAGCTAGTTAATCTTTCTGCTGAGGCTAGAATCTTGACTCTCCTGGAGACTGGCAGGAGAGGCCTACATCTGGGGCTGCATCTCTATACTGCCACTCCCTTCTTTAAGTCATGGGGTCAAGGTGAAATCTCCTAGTAGGGAACCTGACTTTCCCAATGATACTTCCTCATTTCGGGTCAGATGTCCCTATCCTGGAATATGGCAACCCCAATAGTCATTGTCTATCCCCTCACTCTGCAGTCTGGTCCCTTTTCTCCCCCAAGGGAGTGGTCTGAAGACGTGCCCAAACACATCAAGAGATCATAAATGGAGCATTTTAGACTACCTTACAAAGAGAGGGAAGAAATGACCAGAGCTAGTTTTCTCAGGGCTTGAGAGAACTCTAATTGAGCAGACTGCTGTGTCTTCAAAGGAAAAGGTGGAGCCCCTGGGATCTCCCTACAAGGAGCCACTATCCTGACAGACATTGTTGTGAGGGTGGGATCCTCAGTGAGTCACGCTGGGAAAGAGTGGCCCAGCATGCCCATCTGAATTGTTCCTTGAGAGTTCGGGTAAATCAAAGGATGCTTCAGGAAGAAAGTTGACTGGAAGGTGTCTCTGATCCCAGAGAATGAAAAGCAACCCCTTAGCCCCGTACCCTTGAAGCATGAGATATAAAGACGTTTAATGGAGTGTTTCAGAGGGGCTCATCTTCCACCACAAACATCTGGAGACTCTACTGGGTGAATTTCAATCTCTGTGATGCTCAGACTATCCACAAAGAATAAGACATGCCAGAGGATGTATGCTCTAAAGAGCCGTGGAAAATTCCAAGACGCAGTTCTTAAGACATGTTCCAAGGGTCAAGGGAAAATCGTCAACTCTTCAGATCAAGGTTCCCAGTTCCCACCCACTGTCCCTGTCAAGGACAGAAAGGCCCCTGGCAAGACAGTCCCTTCCTCCCACAGCTGGAGGTTAAACATAGCAAGCCCTAAACCCTTGACAGAAAGTAAACATGACACCCAAGGGAAACAGAACATGGCTTCCTTTTGTTTTTGTTTTGTTTGCTTTGGGGCTTGTTTCCTTTTCTTCACCATCGTGTCTGTGCTCTAAGAAGTTAATGCAGGAGATGAGCTGATCAGTTAATGTCATCTGGGTTCCAGCTCCTGGTCTGCTGTCCTATGAAGACTTCCATCTGATTAAGGAAAACACGGCATGGACCACGTAGAGCAGAGTGGCCACGTAGGCAAACACCTGGAACCAGAGGGAAGGTCGTTAGTGTGAGGTCAAATGGGGGGTGTGCACACGAGGCTATGAGGGTTGTCACATGGCTCTGGAGGACAGATTCGGGGTATGTGGATTGCCGCTGCTTCCTGGCACACACGAGCGTACCCAGATCCCTAGGTAGTCTAACCTTGCTGCCTTAGTCTCCGTGTGCAAACTACCCTCTATGTCATTCTAGGGTCATCTGTCCTGACTGGGGTCATCAAAGTCCCCTCCAATAGACATCATAGCTAGGTGTCAGTGGCTCTGAAAAGTTTCCCTCCCCACACCAAGGTCAATATTCTCACTGGGCATCTTTCTATCTCTCAGACCCTTCCTCTTAATTCTGGATTCTTCATTTCCCAGGCACAAGAGAGGCAACCAGGCATCATGGGAAGTGGGGAGCAAGGCAGAGGAGGAGAGGCACCTAGCTTCTATAAAAAGGGAGTGCAAGGAGCTGTTGAGGCAATGCAGCCTGCCAAAGGCAGTGGGAACATAGGCCCTGGACGGTCACCTGTGACGAGCTCGCTTGGGCTTTGTGCACCCCATACTCTGGGTGGCTGACCTCCCTAGAGGCTTGTCTACCCCAAATACAATATTTGCACCTGGTTTCCTGACCTTGGGCAAGGGGTCAAAACTTTCCATCTCTGGCACATTTGGGGTGGCCACGCTTCTGTGAGTCTTGGAAACGCTCACTAACAACAGCCATGGCGTTCAAGCATGGGTGGACACTCCACCTCGTTGGCCAGAGGCGATGTGTGACCCGAGTTAGCTAGTGACAAACTTCTGGGAACTCCTAACTATTCAAGTCACCTGTCCACCTCAGGTGGGACTGCAGGCACCAGGAGAAGCCTTGGCAGAAGCACCTCAGAAGTTCTGGAAGGGACAGCGAGCGAGGATTTATTTTGCAAAGGAGACTAAGAAGTGGCACATGGTTGATACTTAGAGCCCGGGACATGCTGAAGCATGTTTTGACCTTCAGAAACTCTTCTCTGTGAACTTCTGCCATGATTGTCTACCATAGTGAGATCCAGATGTCCCCAGAAATCTCTAGTTCTCCTTGTCTACTTCTGTTAGCCTCAGATAGTTTTCTGTCAAAGAAGCTCCATTCACTGGCACCAAAGGTCAGAGTGCAGAAGCTGAAAGGGGTCCTAACGAGGACCAGAGAGGGGACAGGAGGCAGGCTGGCTGGTGAGGGAGACTCCAAGATCAGGGGCTGGGTAAGGATGATGCCTCCTCCCTGGGTACCAATCCAGAGGGGGCTGTGAATGGAAATAGTTCCACTTTAAACCTGGTTCCCATGCCACCTTATTGGTTCTAGCCTAGAATGCTATGATTCTAGCACAAAATGGCCAGGCACGTGCATGTCTATCCACATCCACTAAGAGAACATGGGGACAGAATCAGCTTTGGAGTGGATGAATAGATGTCATGAGAGGGCTACAATGAAATACTATACAGCAATGCAATAAGCAGTCTTCACCTACACCCAACCACATGGATGATTCCTACACACACAGGCTGGGAGAGAGAAGCCAGGCATAAAAGAATGAGCTTTGCACAATTCCACTTCAGGAGGCAAGCAAGACTGAACTGGGTGCTAGAGGTTGGCTAGTAACTGGTGATAGTGATAAGGCCGATGAGGCTCTCTCTCTCTCTCTCTCTCTCTCTCTCTCTCTCTCTCTCTCTCTCTGCCCCTCTCTCCCTCTCATTAGTAGTACTGGGGATGGACTCTGAGGCCTTGCACATTCCAGACAAATGCTCTACCACAGACATATACCTCAAGGTCTGTATCCTAGTTCTTTAAAACATTTTATTTAAAATAAAGTATCTGTGTTTTTGTAGGCGGGTATGTGCATGTGAGTGCAGTGCCCATAGAAACCAGAAGAGGGGGCTAGAGCCTGTGGACGTTGGGTATAGGCAATTGTGATACACTAGATATGCACTCTGAGAATGGAACTTGGTGAGAGCAGTATTGCTGAGCCCTTTCTCTAGTCCCATGTATATGATTTCTTAATTACAGGAAGATCCATCTTCTGAAAATTCATCAATACATCTACCCAAACCTGGATGAATGATGCCTTTAGATGAAAAGCCAAAGAGAGAAGCTAGGAAGTTGAGATGCAATAGAGTCCAGTAGCTTTCTTTCAATCTGTTCAGCAGACAGCGATTTTAATTCAGTCCAGTTAGGTTTTTCCATCATGGACTGACTCCAGTCACATCTAGTCTACATCACACTACTGCTGTCCTGACGAATTTTAGGGGCATTGTTGTCAAATGCGTTGACATCTGTGAACTTGTGGGTTGGGAAGGGGAGTGAGAGGTCTGAGGCTCTCCTCTGACAGGTAGGTGAAACAATGGGTATAGACTGAGGCAGAGAGGATGGATCACCAGCCTCAGGGAAGAAGGCACAAGCTAGATGCTGCCTGGCTATGCTGCTGTGAAACTCCATGTTAGAAAGTGTCCCATGATGTAGGAAGCTTGAGAAGGTAGTGACAGGGACCTCAAGGTGGCCTGGGGAGCATGCAGCCTCTCTTGGTTGGCTAGCATCCTATATTGATGATGCTTTGAGGGACCTTCGCCCCTGCCCCCTCTCCCTCTAGATCCAGGAAGAAGCAGGCTGTCCAACACTTCCCTACAGACTGCATTCAGCCTCTTTTCCATTTTCCAGCAAATGACAGGTACAGGCAGTGTGTTAGCTCATTCCACTTTGGGGTTTGCATGAGTCACAGGTCAATTTCTAGAAACGCAAGAAGCACTATTTCTAACTCATTTTTTATGCCACCCATAGTTAGAAATAAATTTCATATTGAGGCTCTGAGTAAGTGGAGCAATACACCACTCCAAGGGTGCCTTTCCCCAACAACAAAAGAAAACATCCTTCTGAAACAATATGATTTCTTATTCCTTGTCATTAGGATCCAGTTAATTAAAAAGAAAACCCATCCTGGCCTCAGTGTCCCTTGTGTTGACTGCATGCCTCTGTGGACAACTCTCAAGGAGGTCACAAGACCCAAGCAGCCAAACCACTGCTTGAAACAGGTATTGAAAGCATGCACGGGTGGCCAAGACCCTGGCTTTGATGCTTGCCAATCTTGGTAAAGAGTCCAGGCTGCCTCTCTGTCTGTGAGATGGGTGTGACAATGACACTGACCCCACAGGATTATTGTGAGGGTCATATATGGTCACATCCGCCCATGCACAGCCAGTCTAGCGTGAGCCCCTGTGCCCATGGCTCATGCAGCCCTGAGAAAACAACTAAGGGAATCATGGCCCATCCCTGCCCTTCATAGGGGCTTCACTGCTTCCCAAATGAAGGGAAGGGTTGACTTCCTTCCAAATGCAATGCGCCGTGAAAAGAGAGGTATGGGCTGGGTGACCCTCCCCCTGGGACCTCCGCAGCAGGCAACGAGAGCTGCGTGCTCTGTGTACGGAGGGTGCAGGGCTGCAGGGAACTTACCACTGCAGAGATGTTCTCATGGTACTGCTTGTAGGTGTAGCCATCGTACATTGTGATGGTGGCCAGGGCTTCCAGAACTGAGGCACTGAGGTAAAACAGGGCAGCCACACAGTGGTAGGCTGCATCCTGTGGGTGAGAAGGGCTGTGTCAGAGATGAGAAGAGACACCCCAAAACCCCAATCCCGACACGGAGACATAGTCCTTGATGACTGTACCCACAAACTCTGAGGGGTTTTTCAATAGCAACAAGAAACATAAATACAGGATAATGGGTAGAAATCGGTTCGGGACCTCAAGATCAATTTTACATGGTTACGGTTGTGGCTTGCATGTAGGCTCTTTGGTCAGTCTAGGAAGAGAGAAGCCTGGGCCATTTCCATTGTTTCCATTTTGTTGTGTTGGTCTTATTTATTTATTTGTTTTGGCTCCTATTATATTTCAAAGCAAAAAGGAATTAAAACAAAGTTCTGAGTGGTTGGAATGATTTCAAAAATTTAAGTAGAAAGGCTGTGGAGAAGTAGAGGTCTAGCCAAGTGGCCTGAACCCTCTTTTAATTAATAATAAGCAAGTTCCCTTTATATTTATTTGAGGCCTATCTCCAGGGTCTCAGAGCAGAACTTACTACAAAAGAAAGTACACAGGCCGTTTTGGCACCCAGAGCTTCTGGGAAAATGTGCTTAGATGGGAGTTGCCACGGAGCCCAGCAGAAAGCATGATCTGTTCACTAGGGAGCCATTAGCTTAGGCCCAGCCACCAGATCTCTGCTCCCCAGGGTACTGACAGGCCTCCTTGGTGGTGGGAGTAGCTGACAGCTGTCAGGTCCATGTGGGCGGGTGGGTGGAGATGAGCTGCTAGTTATGTATGAAAAGGCAGTCTCAGATAAGAAATAAGAGCACCCCCTAAGAACCTGCAGCAAATACATGCGGGAAGCCTTTACTGCTAGGAAGAGTCTGAACCGAGGCCAGGCCAACTCAGCTTTGGGTTGTGCTGGAAAATGTTTCCAGGGAACCCCCATTCAGGGTTGGGGAAGTAGTCTTCCAGTGATGAGGGTCTAACACCCTCCCACCTCCCCCACCCCACACCCCCCACCACACACACACATTCCCAGGCCTAGCACTCACCAGTGTGATCCAGGAAGTCTCACCACCATGAGTACCAATTACATACATGACCATCAGGGCAGCGGTGGCCATGAAGCAGAACACAGACACGAACATCACCCAGCCTTGGACCAGGGCAAAGGGCACCAGGGAGGAGGCGATGAGGATCCACACCAGACCTCCAAAGATCTGCGTGGAGGAAGCAGAGAGAGCGCTGGAACAGGGACCCTGAGGCTGCATATACACAGAAAGTGCATAAAGAGATCTCTTTTGTCTTCCAAGGCCGCAGGCTAGAGCTCCAATTTCACCTTTGCCAAGGCCTGCTGGCTGGCTTTGTTTCATTTCTTAAATACAATTTTCATTTTTTATTTAATATATATTGTATTATATGTTACATTGGAGTGGGCATTGTAATAAACATTGTATTACACCTGGACATTGTCTTAAACACCTCACAAATATTAACTCAATTAACTCCAGTAACAGAGCTATGGGTGAGGAGTGGATTCATTTGTCAAATGGGGTAACGTGAAAGCAAAGAAACCCATCATTAGAACATATTATTTGTATTAGCATTAGAAGGGCTACCCTTTCTTCTGAGCGTCTATGCTTCTTGATTGCTTTGCTATTAGAATATCTTTTATATTATAAAACAGTAAGCAACCAGCTGGGAGTGACGGTACAGGTCTCCAATGCCAGTGCTGGAGAGGCAGAAGTAGGAGGGTAACAAGCTCAAGGCCAGCCTAGGCTACACCACGAGACCCTTACCAAAATATCAAGGGCTGGAAATGTAGCTGAGTGGTAGAGGTCACTTGTCTAGCCACTGCAAGGCCACGGGTTCGATTCTTAGCAACAGAAAAAATGTTGTAGCAACTAAGACATTTTTTAAGGTTATTAATGGGTGGACATACTAGCTATACTATGTTATAGGTATTTTTTCCAGATCCGAAATCTTAGATTCCCAAGTGTCTAAGTTGAAATTGGAGTGGGGAGGTTACGGATTGGCTTGGTTTTCTTAGATGGCTGACACAGATGTGAGAGGAGCTCACCCCTGGGATACTCAAAAGATATCACCATGGATGTCCCCAGGGTAGGAGAGTCCCCATTCTCAGAGGGGAACAAGAGAGGTTCCAGAAGTCCCCTGGATGGTCCAGGCACTCAAGCCTTGCTGGGATTTTCTATAGTTCTCTCTGAGCCTCTTTAACTCAAACTTCATGTCCCTGGCTCTGGGCAGACAAGAAAGGGGCTGGGACCTGCGGAGATGACTCTGCAATTGAAAGTCTGGAAAGCAGTGTGACAGAACAGAGCACTTCCTTCTGAGGGCAGGCGATACTCCCTTGAGTTGCAGGTAGACTAGCACCTGCTTTAAGGAGGTATGAGAGTATGGCATGGAGAAATGCAAACATCAGTTGGGTCTATCCATCTAGTCAGCAGAGACAAGCACCAGCATGGGACATTTCTCTCCTAAGTGTCCTTGGTCTGGGGTCTGGTCACCTCATAACCATCTGGGGTCAATGTAAGTCAGGCTACTTGTCTGCATGTTGCAAGGGAGTCCTGCATGTCTCTGCAACCCTTAGCCCCAACAGACAGTGCCTATGAAACACAGCTCCACCAGGGACTTTCTGCTTTGGAGAGTGGACCTTTGCTCAAGTCATTTTCGGCACAGAAGCTCCTCGTTGAGGGCTGCAGCAGCTGTGGGACACAAAGGCTTCCACATCCATGGACTGGACCAATTGCAGATTAAAAAATGTTTGGAAAATGCAGGTATGGTGGTGGATACCTGTAACCCTAGCACTTAGGAAGTTGAGGAAGGTTTATGAGTTTGAGGCCAGACTGAACTACAGAGTGATACCCTGTCTCAACAATTACAATGAAAGCATTGGGGGGGGCATGCATCTGAACCGGACAGTTTAGGCCACTTTTTCTGGTCTAAATGAAGACTAAGAGCTAGCTCTGAGGAAGTGAGGTAGCTTCCCTGGAGATTGGCTTCAGTGGTACCTTAGAGGGAAAGGTGGACTTGGCTGGTTAGGGCAGACATGGAGCCAGGGAATGCTTCTTCAGTGGAAGGACAGAGAGTATTTCACAAGAAGGGACGCTGCAAAGTTTTCAGGGCTCCAGAGGGTGGGGAAGCCAGGCACCATGTGGGGTAAGGGGGTGGCCGTAGCTGGGCTGGAGGAAGGGAGATCCATAGAGACCTGATATTCAGCATGAATCATGGGGGCCCAAGCCTGTTTGCACCCCACTCCACCTTCAGCCTCTGCAGAGGGCAAACAGAGAGAGCAAGCAAGGCATCCACACCCGGGAGATAAGGCACTCCTGGGCGGTGAGCAATCCTCTCTGACTGGCCTCAGGACCCCACTGGCCAAATATTTGTCAAGAGCAAGGGGTAGGTGAGGGTTCAAAAGCATTTCCCTTTGTAATAAAAACTCTAGGTGCCTTCTGGTTTTTGGTCTTCAGCGCAGAGGCGATTAGTAAAAGAAAGGAAGAGAGGAAGGGAGGAAGCCAGGGAGGCAGGGAGAAAGGAAACATTATACAACCCTGTAGAGGTGTGGCCCTGGGATCTGCCCCTGTTAAAGCCAGGATTCCCCATTACCACCTCTATTCCACCATGGCAGAGACACAATATCTGCCAACAGTGGTCTCAAGTAAAGCCTTCCAAGTTGCTGACCTGGGAACTACATGGACTGACCAGTCCCTCTGGATCCCAGCACTCCAAGCTGAAAAGTGGGGGTAGAACCTGTATTGATGCTCTAGGGTCCTCAGCCCTGACTAGCCATCAAATTTGCAAGGGCACCTTAAAAAAAAAGCAAACAACATCTAGGCCCAGGGTCAGAATCAACTGGAGAGAGGCAGAGCCGTGAGACGGGAAACAGAGGACCCAGGCTCTCTTCCAAAGGCTGGAAACATGTTTTCATAACACAAGACTTCAGGTGATACTCCGAATGTTCCTGACAAAGCAGAAGAGGAGTTGGTCCTGTCTCCGGGTTCCTGCAGGCTTTCCATCAGAACCGATGAGAACTCTGCCCTTGGTCCTGTCTGGCCTCTTGATGCAAAGCACCACTGGGAACTTCCTTGCTCTGTCTTCCTGCTTCCATCCCTGTCTTGCTTCCTGCATGAGACCAGCTCATCGCTGGGTGTCCACTAAGCACCGGGACACAGCCTCACCAAGTGTGAGTGGAAGGCTGTGCCTGGGAAGGGAATGTTGAGCTCGGAAGGGTGAGGTGTTGGGTGCCAAGAAGACCTGTAGGGATAATGTTCAGAATGCAACAACAGCTCACTGGTTTATTTTTCTTTAGTAGTGTGTGTGTGTGTGTGTGTGTGTGTGTGTGTGTGTGTGTGTGTGTGTGTATGTGTATGATTGCACATTCAGTGGTCAAATGGCAACTTTTGAGAGTTGATTCTCTTCGGTTCTGGAGACTGAACTCAAGTGGTTAGGTTTAGGTGGTAAGAACTTTAGACTCTGAGCTATCTTGATGGCCTCCTGCTCAGTCTTATGAGTCACCTATGGAAAAGAGACCAGAGTGGGCAAGGATATAGACTTTAGACTAGAGTTCCCGAGTTTGAATTGTAGCTCTGTCATATACCAGCTGGACCACTTGGCAAGTTACTTAGCCTTTCTGTTCCTTTGTCTAGGAAACGGTGCTAACCATACCTACAAAGAGAGTGGGAATCAGTGGAAATCTCCTGTCATGGAATAGAGCAATCTCACCTGAGACCACATAAAAATTCAAAAGGCTGTGATTTCAGTGTGTATAAATGCCCACTTGCAAACTTGATGGGAGCTGTAGATAAGTAATTAACCAATTACAATTTGTTTTATCTTGTTTTGAGATATGGTCTTGATATATAGACCAGGCTGGCTTCATTCTGAGATTATATTTTGGGATAACTAAAAGTCACTTCAAGAACTGGGAGGGTAGCTCCCTAGAATGCACGAAGCCTCGGGTTCCATTCTCAGCACCTCTTGGACTATGCCTGGTGGCACACACTATGATCCCAGCACTGTAAGGTCATCCTTAGTTACACAGTAGTCTTAGGCTGGCCTGTGATACATGAGGTCTTGTAAAAAAAAAGTGATCATGTAAGCATTAAAAAATACTATGGTGTCCCCCAAACTTTAAGTTGTATAAAATGTGTCTGTGTAAGAAAATGTAGTAAATATGAAGATGTGAAGGCCGTCTTTCTAGTCTTTCTAACAATGAACTCACTTGTAGAAGGAGAAATGAATTCTCCAGGACATTCTTGAGATTCATCTGGCGTTTCTAGCATTGTGGGGCTGAAAAACAGGGTTTTATTCCAATTTGTCCACTGCAGGGATTGGGTGACTAAGATCAATGGCAATTACTCTGGTTGTTTTCCTGGAGCGCTACTATATGCTGACAGGGTCTCCACAGTAGAAGGTCTGCCAGGAGAACATGCCAAGACAAGAACCAAAGAGTATGCCACCCACATACAATGCCCCCCACCATGTCAGGCATCAGGGCTCCCAACAGCTCCCTTATGGGTAAATGTGTCTGGAAGTTTGTGTTTTGACTTCTTGGGAAGTAAAGTAAATGGGCCATAGAGCCTAGGCTGCAAACCAAATACTAGGCTGTCCTTTATTCCCTGGGAGGGATCAAGTAGATAGCCTCATCAGCTGAGAGGTGCCAGTTGGCACACTCCAGGCTTCTGGGAGGGCTGCCAGGCTCCATACCCATGAATGCTGTCCTGAGGCCACCAGGAACGGCAGCCCCAACTTGGCTGGCTATGTGCATGCACTTTTTCAGTAGCCAAGAGTTATGTCAACATTGGGTGCACTGGCAAGTTTTATGTCTACTTGACACAAGCTAGAGTCACCTGACAGGAGGGAACCCCAATGGAGAAAATGCCTCCATGAGATCTGGCTGTAGGTAGGCAAGCCTATCAAGGATTTTTTAATGGATGGGGAGGGTACAGCCCATTGTACATGGGGATACCCCTGATCTGGTTGTCTTGAGTGCTATAAGCCAAGAGGAGCAAGCCAGTAAACAGCACTCCTCCATGGCCTCTGCATCAGTTCCTGCCTCCAGGTTCTTGTCCAGCTTGAGTTCTTGTCTTGGCCTCCCCTCAATGGACTGTGACTTGGCATAGATAAGTCAAACAATGTTCCATCACAGCAATAGTAACCCTAGCTAACACACCAGGATTTTACTTATGGTGGTGACTTGGAC